TAGTAATAAGAACAATACAAGGTTATATGCTTGCTCAGGGGAAGAGCACGGCTTTAAATATCTACGTTTGAATCCCAACCCTGCTGCTTACTAGCTGTGGGGCCCTCGGCCAGTTAGCTCCCTTCCCTGTGTTCAGCTATCTCATCTGTAAAATAGTGACAGGAATACCTACCATCCCGTGTTGTTCTAAGGGTCAGGTGGAGCAATGTTTAGAAAACATCTGACATGACTGCATCGCTGAAAACCCAGTAGCTATGATAATATTAGTTATTCCCTATAATCTTATTAACATTATCATCACATGCCTATTAACTGGGGCACCCAGGCATCTCTGCCCAGCTAGGAGATTAGTAAGACACAGCACCCTGATTTACAGCCCCCTATCTGTGCCCTGCTATGTTCCCTCTGCCTCAACAGAGACCACTACCCCACGGAACATCCCTGACTCCCCCACAGGAGCACAGGGCAGGGGATGGTGAGTGGCATGCACCAACAAGGTGGGATGTGCAAGGGGCCAAGAAGGCTCAGTGCCTCCACCCAGGCCCTGTGGTCTGCCATATGCTTTTCTTTGGAATCCATGTTAAAATGCAAACACATCTGAGATAAAGAGTACTTCCCATGGCAGGTGAGCAGCGTAGTATAAGTTCTGAAAGGATGATAAACAGGAATGGCAAAAGCTCCGGATGGGCGAGGTTTGGTTCTATATTTGTACCATCCACATAGGTAATGGGTCCCGTAGTAGGTGCTCAATAAATTTGGTTGAAGGAAAACTGTCAGAGGCCTCTCCCATCCCTCCTCTCCCATCCCTCCCCCCTCCTCCTTGCACTCAGGTGTGTGGACCAGTTCTGGCCCCCAAAGCCAGGAACGTTAATCCATTTGAGCAGAAGGATGTGTGCCATTGGGGCCCTGGAGGAAAGCTTCCAGGATGTCTCCTGGATAAATCTCAGTGGCTTCTCTAGATGGCTGTAGCCAGGCAGGGGCCTGCAGGAGGCAGGTAGCCACATGAGAAAAGGCGCATGAATCATGACTACACATGAAGCCCTGAATCCACAAGTGCCCCATAATATCACATTTTTAGAACTGGATTCCAAGGGAGATGTAATATGTGTCCCTTGAGAAAAAGAATTCTTTGGTCAAATATGGTTGAAAACCACTTCTTTTGGAGTGTCTCTGGTCAAACTAAAGGCTCAGAGAAGTCCTGCAGTTATTCTTTTTTAAGCCAGGTGTCTCGGTTTGATGAACAATACTTTTTTTCTTGGAACACCAATTAACATTCTATAGAAGACATACATTCTGGGCGCCTGGGTGGCTCAGTTGGTTAAGCAACTGCCTTCGGCTCAGGTCATGATCCTGGGGACCTGGGATCGAGTCCCACATCGGGCTCCCTGCTCGGCAGGGAGTCTGCTTCTCCCTCTGACCCTCCCCCCTCTCATGTGCTCGCTCTCTCTCAAATAAAATCTTAAAAAAAAAAAAGGACATACATTCTGTTGAACTCTGATCTGGATGTTGCTATGATGGGATAAGAATATGCTGATAAGCACATAGGAAAGTTTGCTCCTTTCTGAATTCCCCAGAATTCAGAAAGAGACCCTGAGGGTCTCTGCTGAGAAGGAAGTCAGCCCTGTAAGACTGAGGCCAGAGACAAAGAGCTGCAGAGCCAGGATCTCCTCGGCGGGAGGCTGGGGGCGGGGGGTGCAGATTCTGCCCACATACCAGGCACGGATTGGCCGAGCAGAGCCTGACAGCATCACTTCCTCCCAGGGTGGCTCAGAGCAAGATTTTTCCTGCCACTTAATTAAGCCTGTGCTTGGCTCCTCTGAGACGCGCGGTTCAGATGGGGCTGCCTGTCGGCCGTAAACGCTGGCTTTCCCCTGCTTCCCCGTCTCCCTCACATGGAGCCCTCCTTCCTGCCCTGCGTGCCTTGTCCTGTCTAGACCTCAGGGCTGGATCAGCGGAAGAAAAGGAAAATGATCATACTGCCGTGCCAGAGGATTACTTCCATTCCCTGGCCCCGGCATGCAGCTTTGGGGTGTGCAGCATGTGTGCACGTGTGTGTGTGCACGTGTGTGTGTGCACGCGCACGCCCGAGTGTGCCCGGGAGCTGAGTGAGCGTGAGGTCCTGTGTGTGCATATGTCACAGGGTGTGAGTATGTGTGAGGGGGAACAGTGTGTGTGAACCTGAGAGGCTCTGAGTGACAAAGACTTCGGGGGGGTGTGTGTGCGCGCGCACACAGGAGAGAATGCATAAGGACACAAACCAACAAACATGAGTAGAAAAGAAGAGGATGGGCAAGATGGTCAGGCCGGAAATGAAAATACAGGTCACGCATCGAACAAGAACAAAGTATTCTCCTGTTTGGCAAGCTTCTGGGAAAATAACACCGTTTTCACCAGTGTTTTGTACAAAGAACGTTTATGCTACACATTTAGATCTTGCCATGAATACGAAGCCTTCCCGGGGGTGTTGGAAAAGCTGGGGCTTGGTCAGGACTTTCCACCTCAGTCTTGGCTCTAGCACGTGCTAGCTCTGGCGACAGAGTCTGGCACCACATTTCCCTCACCTCCCGCTGACAGGCTGCACGTGGACGTGAAAATGAGACGGTGGCCGCCACAGAGCCTCAGGGTGTGTACCACACAGCTGCTGCAGTCAGATGGCCCGGGTTCCAACCCTGACTCTGCCTTTTACCAGCCGAGCACATGCGGCACTGGTTCCCTCTATGCCTCAGTTTCTTCTGTTGTCACACGGGGATGAGCGAGAGCACCTCAGAGGGGTGACATTTCTGAGATGTTTCATATAAATGGCTCAGCAGAGGGTGTGCACCCAGTGAAAGCTCAGCAAATATTAGCTATTATTAAATGTGGATAGCACTTGATAGCTGAAAACTATGGGTCCCCTTTAGGGGTGCCGTGGATTGCCTTCTCCAGGAGAACGATCTCCTTCCCCTGGATGATATCAGTGTGACAGCCCAGAAACAAGTCTAAAGTGGCCACTCTGAAGAAACCACAGCTTTTTCAAGAGTCTTCAGGAAAAGGAGGCAGAGGGGCATTGTGACCCCATCACTTTCTGCCCTCTCCTCAGTTTTGCTAACAGCGTCATTAATCCATTTGCTGGATCAAAATGGTAGAATCAGAATGTCCCAGGGGACAGAGCCCCAGCTGGATTCAGGGAGGGAGAACCAACATGTTGCTACAGGTAAGTCACGCTGCCTGTCCTCCTTGTCTGGAACTCACAAACTTACTGGACTTCTGGGCCTTGTGCCACCCCCTCCCCGGCCCCTTTGCCCCCTCGACCTCCCGGGCTCAGGGCAAATCTCTCTCAGAGAAGCCCATCTCATGACTTGGCTTTATTTTCTCCACGGCACTTTTCACTTGCAGGTGTGCGCTCACGTATTTACTACCTGCTCTGCTGCCTAAAATGTTTGTCCAGTTTGTAGTCACGGTTTCGGGCCCTAGAACAGAGCTTGGCACATGTCACATCCTTACCACAGAAGCCATGAAAAGTGAATGACAGACAAACATTTAGAAATGTTCGTTACCTGCCGAAAACCGGGTTGAGGGTGTTGGGGATGTAGTGGTCTCGATCTTCGATCACTTTTTTGCCCAGTGTTATTTTTATATAAGGGTCACACTGCGGGGACAAAACCGATGGCAAGCTGTGTCATCATGGGGTACAAGTTCAAGGCAGTTTCTGGGGCAGACTCAGGGGAGCCTCCCACCCACTCCCACCCTGACGAAAAGCTGGTGGCTGGGGCGCCCACGGCACCCAGGCAGCCACCTGCAGAGAAGCCCTGTGGGTTGAAGAGGCGGTGGCAGGGAGGAGGGACCCAGCAAATCTCCTCGAGGTCACATCTGTGAAATGAGAAGCATGAACCAGAAGATCCAAAGCCCCTTCAAGCTCTCAGATAAATCCCCGTTGGGACAATCCTCCTGAACACATTGTTTGGATAGAGTATCTTTCCCCCTAGTGAGATAACAGACGCCCCAAAAGAAAGCACATGACAATTATTGTGGCTGATGACTGTAATTATCTTGCTACAGGAGAAGGCCCCACACTCAAACTCTTACCAGGCCATTGTTGTCCTGGGGCTGGAGCTCTAAGCCTCGAACAATGTAAATCCTAACCGTGCATTCCTGTGGGACGCTGTCAGGTAATTCCCGAAACTGCCTGGGAGGGGCCGGCACGCTGGGGTCATCCGACAGGGGGTAGATTCTAAAGGAGCCCTAAGGGAGAGACACACAGATGTCCTCACAAGGGCCGCGGTGGCCTGGGCAGAGGGTTCCTGCCCTCCCAACCGTATACACTCGGGGGCAGCCACTGGGGCCGGGGGGTTGGGTGGCCAGGGCTGCCTTTTGGGAAAGAAACAATGTCGGTTACACTTTGTGTAATTCCAGTGGGGAATGTGAAGTGATGGTAAGGGAAGTGTTGAACAGATCACAGGGGAGAAGAAGGGGCAGGGCGAAGCAGGCAGACCAGGCACACATCTAGGCAAGAGTTGGGTCAGTATGGTGGCAAAGGAAGGGGTGAGGAGTGAAACTCTGAACGTATTTTGAAGACTGGAATAAAAGTGATTATTTTTTAGACCCACTAATGTACAAAGGATGATTTCCCTTTTCTGGCGTCACCCCTTCATGAGACTGGGAGCTTCCTGAGGGTGGGAAGTATGTCTTGTTCATCACTCTATCTCCAAGACCTAACACAGGGCTGGGCACGTCGCCGGGGTGCAAGGAATGTTCCCTGAATGAGTAGAGCCAGCAGGCCAGCTTGTGAGGCCATAAACCTTATCCTGAAACCAGCTTTAGTCAGCACAAGAGAAAGCGTCCCGTTGGATTCAGACCCCGTGGGTCTTAGCTCCAGCTACGCTCACTGAGCAAAGCGGTGTGTAGGAAGCACTTCCTACCCTCTGTGCCAGGTACTGGGGACCCAAACATGAACTCAGGAAACCCAGTCTGGCACCGGGATGTGAGACAGGTCTGCCTCTCGGGCCTTCTTGGATCGCTTGCTGGGACGCGGCAGGGACGGGGACGTGGAGAGCGCGGCGGGGGCAGACCGGCTGCTGTGGGGAAGGGTGAGCGGCAGGAGCACTGCTGCCCGGGACTTGCCCCCGCCGTCGGAGGGAGGGGCAGGTGCCACCGCCGACCCCTGCCCGCTGCAAGGTGCTTTAATGGTAGCTGGTGCACCAGAGCCCCGGGAGCCCAGGGTGGGAGTGAGTCCCTCCGCCGGAAGCGCCCAGGGCACACTTCACAAAGAATGGGGCACTGGAGCCGGCCTTGAAAAGGATGAGTAGGAGGTGGTCAGACCACAGGGAGGGAAGGCAGAAGAGCCTGTCCCAAGGCTCCGAGTCGTGAGAGGACGAGGTGTGTCTGGGGCCGGGGAGTGGTCCTGAGCGGCAGGACGGGGTGGCCAGGGCGCCGAGTGGCTCGGGAAAGGCCAGCTCTGCCTGAGGAAGGAGTTGAGACTTGAGCCGTGGAAACCCAGCATCTTTCGGTAGACCAGAGCCACGATCACACTGGGCGGCGTGGGGAATGGACTGGAGCGGGACAGAAAGGTGGCGAGGACCATCAGTCGGGAAGCGCCTGAGGAAGGCCTGGGAGGAGGCGGTGGGATGGGGCTTGGAGAGGCTGAATCTGCAGGGCCCAGGCTTGGATGGCCTGGGCAGGGCGAAAAAAAGGTGCAGAGAATAACTTGGAAGGTTCTACCCCTGACCCCTGTGGCCCTTTTCCTTGTCATCAGCTTCTAGCATCCTTCAGATGGCAGAGGACATGTCCCTGCCCCAGGGGCTGGTCATCCTTTATCCTAGGTCTATAAAGAAATTAAAGGTGGATTTGAAACAGCACAAAACCCCACCTTTTACTCACCTTAAACTCTCCTACCACAGAAGGGTCTTCATTTTCATCTGATTTGCCTCGATACAGCTTGAAAGTATCTGAGAAGTCTGTCAGACCCTCAAATTCTGTTACATCCTCTAGTTCACAGTCGTATATCTGAAAACCATCCACAGATTCTTAATTTCCCATTAGAACACAGGAGGAGTCTAAAATCAAAAAGCCCGGCAATACCAAGTGGGCCTGGGCATGTGGATGGGGCCGCTGGAACCCTCCCATCACTGGCAGGAGTGTGGAAGGCTACAAGCACTTGGGGAAAACATCTGGCAGTTTCTTCTTGAGTTAAATATCCAGCTATTCTATGATGCAGAGACTGCATTCCTAAGTATTTATCCAGGAAAAACGGAAACACGTCCACACGGTACGAGAAGGTCTGCAGCAGCTTCCTCGTCAGGAGAAGGGACACCCACACAGCAGAACGGCCACGCAGTGAGCCACCGCTCAGCGGTAAGAAGGGACAAGCGACTGATACACAGGACAGCGGGATGGATCTCAAAATGACAGTGTTGGGCTAGAAAAGCCAAACACACACACCAAATCCATACAGTATGAGCCCATTTCTATGGAGTATAAAAACAGGCCAAAGCAGCCCATGGTGACGAAACCAGATCAGCTGCCTCCGGGCAGGATGGGAGGCAGTGGATAATTGGCTGGGAAGGGGTGCACAGGAGTTCTCTGTGGTGATGGAAATGTTCTCTGCCTTGTTCTGGGAGGTGGTTCACATAGATGTATACCATCACCACAACCCATGGAATGGAGTCGTTTATTGTATATAAATTATACCTCCATAAAAAACCAGAAGAAGAGGAGGAACAAGAATGAGAAGGAGGGAAGGAAGGCAGGAGGGAGGGTGGATTTGAGACTGATCTACTCCACCAGTTTGATCCTTTTTCTAAATTAGTGGTTCTTTGCATGCTGGTGTTTCTTAAGCTTCACTGAGATGTTATGATGATAACATGGAAATATGTGGGGTTTTTCTACTTCGATGGGGAAAATCATTTTAATGGCTAGATATTTCTCATTTTAAAGATTTTTTTTCTCCCATGCAATGTTCTGAAAACGTTAGCATTTCCTTCTACTTAAGCACATTAATTACAGACTAAAAACCAGAATGAAGAATTGGAAACTCAAAACATTAACCCAGGAGATCAGAGGTAGCCAGATCTCTCTAGCTCAACAGTTCGCCTTCTTCCTGGACACATGCACCCACGGTTCTGATGGAATGTTATATCCATGTAACAGAATCAACTTTTCAGCTAGTGAAACAGATGCCCGTTTGGAAGACAGAATAAGGCATGTTGGTGTTGCATGCTGTTCTGCAAGAGCATGACTTTTAGGATTCCCTGGGTCGAACTGGATAATTGTTGGCCTAATCAGTGTGATGTCAATTCCCAACCCTCTATCAGATGCCCCCAAGCCCCCAAGTGGCAGTCACATAACCATAAGTCAACAGCTGTCCTCAGGCTCCTAGAATCTTGGCAAAGGCAAAGCCCACTGCAAGAGGACTGGCCCTTCCCCATCAGTCCCTCCATTGGGCCTTTTGGTCAGTTTTAATGGATGCTGATCCCTCACCCACAGCAGTACAGGCCCAGGTACCTTGAGTTTGGAATAGCCTTTCTGAACATATTGTCCACATTTTTCATGTTCCCCTGTGGAAGCATAAAATTTACTCCACCAGTCAACGATTTCTTCCTCCTAATAAAAGACACATCAAAATGGAATAATCTTTAGTGTTGACATGGGTTTCTAATCAATGCAGGAAAACCCACATGTCATGGGTAAGAGAAATAGGTACTTCTGAACCTGAACAAGGGGACAGGATAGGATTTTGTTGACATGTACAATGGATTCAGCATTCACCATTCTTTCACCCAGAAGCTGCAGGGGAAAGGACCATCGTTGGCGGCCAGTGAAATGTGTCTGGCTCAAACGCCCACCGCTATCCTAGATGACTGCTTCCATTCTATAGACACAACCTGATCATTAGTCTGGTTTTACATTTTTATCCTGTTCACTTGATATTTATATATACAGATAAAACTCCCATATATGCTTTCTACTATTTCATTTCTTTAACTGTTTTAGCCAGCACTCCATTATAAAACAAAGCTAAGCTGAGCGGTGGAAAACCTGGTTCTAATTCAAGTCCCATCCTTTCCTATAAGCCATACCCTCCTGTTACAAGCCGTATCGGCTTGGGCAAGTTGCCCGATCTCTCTGAGCCTCAATTTCTTGATCCACTGAGTGGGACAACAACACTACCTATCTCCATCTACTCCAGAGAGTTGTTTCAGATAAGATCATTAGGAGAAAGAGCTTTAAAAATGATAAAATGTGGGGTGCCTGGGTGGCTCAGTTGGTTAAGCGTCCTAACTCTTGGTTTTGGCTCAGGTCATGGTCTTGGGGTCCTGGGATGGAGCCCTGCATCCGGCTCCCCAGTCAGCAGGGAGTCTGCTTGTCTCCCTCTCTTTCTGCCCCTCCCCCTGCTCATGCTCTCTGTCTCTCTCTCTCAGATAAATAAATCTTAAAAAATATATTAAAAAATGATAAAATGTGAAACAAAAGTAGGGAGGCATTCTGGGACCTTTAATCAGTAGCTCCCAGCCCATCCTTGGGTGAGTTCTGGGCGCCCAATATGCTTTCATAAGTTCCCCAGGCGATTCCAATGTGCAGCCAGTGTGTGGAACCTCTGGTTTAGATGTATGGTTCTCAGTTGCACAGAGGAGACCGCATATCAGAGTCACTTGTCAAACACCTTTGAATTGCAGAAGCCTGTAGTTTATAAAAGGCTGCTATAAATTCCACTCAGATTTTTGACAAGAATAGAGTGTCATCAGACCCACTCATTGCACACTCAAGAAAAGCTACTTCTCATCTGTGTACCATATATATGTACACAAGCACACAATTATTTCCCCTTTATAGTCAGTAACCCAACCTTGGATTTAAAACAAGTTTCTTTACATGTCCGCTATAGGTGGAAAATCTAAAATGAATCTGCAATCTAGCAAAGCACGTATAATAGTTACCTTTTCTGTCAGCTGTTTATCACATTACGCACAGGAAGAGGGCAAACCACAGAAGGTCACATGGATATGGAGAGCCCATGAGCATTAGGTTTGAAGAGAAAGAGGGAGAAATTAGTTTTCATTCATGCTTTATATTATCAACATTTTTGATGGATTATTTAGAATATTCAAGATGATCTCATAATTAAACACACCTTATCGGTTTCTTCTCTGAAAATGTGCAAATGAGTTACAAACAGTATTAAAAGGAGAAGGTTGGAGGTAGCCACGCACATCCCATGTTTTCGAGAGAGAATCTCGCTGCCGGCACAGTGATCACAAGCCGGGCGGGGGGGCGGGGGGTGCTTGGAAGTACAGCTGCTCATCCGCCTGCCCCAGACTTTTCATTTCATTTAGCTCCTAAAGTATTCCTCAACTTGGCCTGATTCTTATCCCTTCAAAAACTCCTGTCATGGGATATTTGTGTCTAGCATGGCTGCAATTTCATCCGGTAGGAACCTTTCCTTGCTTTCTCCCCATGCCTCTGTTATAGCACCAAATACAGACGCGTCCATCAAAATTGCTCTAAGAAGTCAACTTTCTCATGGTCAAATGCTTCCATTTGAGCTTCTGCATGGAGGACCCCCCGCCCCCCGCCCCGGTCTCAGGGCACACCCGCGAGAAGGGAGGATGGGGAGCTAGGGGGCGGAGCCTGAGTCTTCCCTTGGTGCTGCCGGGGGCACATCACCCAAGTTCACTCTCAGGGGCAGTCTGAGGGATGCTACCTAGACCCCCTTTCTGAAGTCCTAACCCCAAGTTCCTGTCTCGTGTGAGGGGTGAACGGCTCATCACAGGCACTCCCTACAGCTGCTGTATGCGGTGGCCACGGGCTTCCTCTGTAAGCGTCCTCACTGTTCTCTGACTGACGTTTATCCAGCACGCAGAACCGCCAAGAGAGGCAGAGAGACACGCAGATGTAACAATTCCTTATAGTAGATTCATCCCGAAGCAAGATTAGAGCTTAAATCATAGCCAGATTAAGATTTTGGAGAGAGGCATTTTATGCCAAAAGCGCACTCACGTTCCACGAATGGTTCCTGAATTTTTAAAAAAGATTTTAAAAGTCTGTTTATTCACACCTATTTTCAGCTATTTAAAGTTATTTCAAAGAAAAGAATAGGTCATGAGTTTAAAAGCGCAACTCAAAACAAATGCCTGATTTTAAACGTTAGGATAACCATGGGAGAATTTATTCACACCCGTCCGCTCATTAGTTTACCCAGAAAAGTTAACGGGAGTAACTTGCTTTATGGTATCTCCATGGTAAGAGTCTCCTTTATACTTAGAACAATCACATTTGTTTAAAGATCGCCTTTCACTCCAAAATCTAGTATTAGAAGGAATCTGAAAGGAGAATTCCAGTCTTTAGCCCGAGGTCCCCACAATGCCCAAGCAGCTTCATGCATTTCCTTCTCATACATACATACATGCACTGTCCTTGGAGAAGCCATTTTGCTGACTGCTGTTGACATACTGCTTAAGCACTGGAATTGGAAGGTAACTGTTGAAAAGGCCACATAGGAACGTCCATGCTGCCCAGCAAACACTTATCAGCTTGCCCCAAGTACTTATTTCTCACCTCTCTTGCGGTAGCGCTGAGCCCAATTTAAGAACTCCCACAGTTCTCCCAGGGTAACGGTGTGCGTTTCTGTGAGCACGAGACTGTCACCCAAAGCCCTAGCTTCCAGCTCGCATCAACAGCACAGTGAATTTTGACCCACCCTCTCCATTTGCCCAGACTGGGCCCGTGGTAGCAGATGTAAACATACATCACATGTACATGTAATGCATGCCCAGCAGCAAGCTTGTTATCGGCTCTTCCAAAGCTCACCTGGGTTCATTTGACTCTGCATCCATGTGTGTACTGTCTTTCCTGACAAACAGGTGGAATCAGCTTTTTAGGGGCAATTCCAACCAGCCTTTCTTACCAACACGGAGTACCTCAGCGAGGTGTTAGCAGAGCAAGCCGATTAAAGTCATTTACAGTATTGCCGTCCCGCCCCCTTATCTGCAGGGCACAAGTCCCAAGATGTTTAGCAGATGCCTGAAACCCTGGGTAGTACCGAACCCTAGATATACTATGTTTTGTCCTGGACACACATTCCTATGGTCAAGTTTAATTTATAAATTAGGCACAGTAAGAGATCCATAATAACTAATAATAAAACAGAACACGTATGACAATATACCGTAGTGAGTTATGTGGATGTGGGGTCTCCCTCAAAATGTCTTCTTGTGCTGAACTCACCCTTCTTGTCATGATGTGAGATGATAAAATGCCTACGCGGTGAGGTGACGTGAGGTGGGTGACGTGGGCGCTGTGACGTAGCATCAGGCTACTACTGACCTTCTGACCATTCGTCGGAAGGAGGGTCATCGGCTTCTGGACTGCTGGACCTGCCACTGACCGCGGCTCACTGAAGCCACGGAAAGCGAAACCGCAGATAAAGGGGGACACCTGCCTGAACGATGGTGGTTCCTAATACTACCTACCTAATACTACCTAATACTACCTAATACTCCCACCCCCAATCCTGGTAGACTGCAACTCAGTTTCCAGGATGTAAAAGAAACTTGCACAATGTGTTGCTACAGTAACCCAGCCATCTGTTAACTATCATTAAGAAATGAGTGAGAATTGGGGCACCTGGGTGGCTCAGTCGTTAAAAGTCTGCCTTCAGCTCAGGTCATGATCCCAGGGTCCTGGGATCGAGCCCCGCATCTTGCTCCCTGCTCGGCGGGAAGCCTGCTTCTCCCTCTCCCACTCCCCCTGCTTGTGTTCCCGCTCTCGCTATGTCTCTCTCTGTCAAATAAATAAATAAAATCTTTAAAAAAAAAAAAAAAGAAATGAGTGAGAATATCGGCATAGATTGGCCTTATTCTTCTTGATCCCCCCACGTAGGGCTACTAAGTACACAGCAGGCATGAATAAGAATTGTTTGACAATGGGAAGTAGGAAAACCGGAGACAGATTATAGAACAGGATCTAAAACCGCTTTTTTCCAGAGTGGTTGTGAAAATGTATATAAAAGGTCTTATGTATACAATCCTTAATTTCTCCCTAGGCAACTACTGCTTTGTTGGGAATATGTGAGGTCGTTTACAAAGTGAACGTGGTCGTTTTACAGTTTTGGTATTGTCATTTGTGACTGTGGACGATTCCTGGGGAATAGAACCAGATCCACTGCTGCACGGTGCTGGCGGGGGAGATCACATTTAATGTGGTCCAGTTGTTAGTGAGCTTAATGAAGTGGGAAGGAAGTGAATTTTTTAAAAGGTACTCTTCATGGATATAACATATTAAAGTGCAATCATGTGCATTTTTTGGCCAGTTTGCACATTAAAACATGCCGTGAAAGTCCATCCTAAATGCCAACACAAACAGGGAGATATTTGATGTTTTCTTTTTTCTGGACTGAGACCTTTTTACATTTTCTTTCCCTTTCCTTCTTGTAGAATTGGTTGGAATGGTTCTAAAATAGGGTCCTGAGTGAGCATTTCCACCAATTTCTTCACTTCAAAATTACAGTGAGTATAAAAATCTAAGATACCCCATATCCGGACAAATTGGGTCAGTAAAAATCCGTGACACTTCTCCTTCATGTAGGGAAAAAAACTCTGTGCTACATGCATCCCTCTTCTGAATGTTCTATGCTATAAACTGTCTCCTGAAATTTCTCTTTCTAGCACATGGTATCATTCAAACCGTCCACACCAATAGTTCTGAGACCTGCCTGCACGTTAGAATCACATGGAGAGATTTTTAAATATACTGATGTCTACTAGGCCCTCTTCCTCTTGGAGGGTAGGTCCTGGCCCTATCTTAAGTATCCTGGGTGACCCAGGGTAGAGAACACTAGTCTGCATAACATCATCTTACCTACTGATGAGTTTAAGATTTGGATTCCTTATTCTACCTCAATCAACTGGATTGGTTATTATTATTTCAATTGCATTGAATGGTTGTCTGACTGAATTTGCCCAATGCCTAGGCCACCTGGAAAACAAAACTGACATTATCCAATGATCAGTTCTGAAACCTACCTTCGAAGCCAGTAACGGTCTGGTGTCCTCTATTTCGATAATGACATCCCGGCAGGGCGGGGTCGACAGAAGGGAAGCTGCAAGACAAACAATTTCTCGCCTAAGATGCTTAAAGAAATTCAGGAGTGAACATTCTAGTCCAAGTCCAAGTTCAGCAGTCACAGTGGAAGGCAGAGTATCCTCATGGGTGGGACTTCCTGAGTAGAGAGGACCACACCCGAATGGAGAAGGTGACCCAGTAACTCATCACTTTTCCCAAAACGTAATGTAGGTTTAGACACCTTTAAGGAACGATATGGCCCACTTTTCTCTTGTCTTGGACAATTAGCCCAGTGCCTGTACATAGGAAGGGATCAAAAGAGAATGGTGTCGATTGTGTGAATACATGTCTTTAGAGGATGTGGGGGGAGGGGAACCTACATCTAAAGGAGCCTCAGTTTCTTGGAATCTGTTCCCAGACACAGAAAAGCAAAGCAGGGCGAACAGTTGCCCATTTCAGGTCTGAAGTTACAGTGGCTCATTCAGCCTGGTTCCCATAGTGTGTGCACAGGGAAGAGGCATCACCCCGGTTTTAGGCCATTCCCAGAAGAAGGCTGACCCCTGAACAACACGGGTTTGAACACTGTGTGGGTCCACTTATATGTGGATTTTTTTCAATACAGTATAGTACTGTAAATGCATTTTCTCTTCCTTGTGATTTTCTTAATGTTTTCTTCTCTCCAGTTTACTTTATGTAAGAATAGAGTATATAACACATACAACATACAAAATGTGTGTTGATGGACCGTTTATGTTACTGGTATTTAAGGCTTCCGGTCAACAGGAAGCTAGTGGTAGTTAAGCTTTAGGGGACTCAAAGCTGTACATGGATTTCTGACTGCGTGAGGGTCAGTGCCCCTAATCCCTGCCTTGTTCAAGGATCAACTGTATTTGTGGCTCCGGGTTTTGGGATTAGAGCAAGGGCTCAAGGGTAGCCTCTGGGCTCACCAAGTTTGTTTCCACCGAAGCCTCAACCTGGGGTAGGGGTGTGGGTGAGGGGTATGTCTACCCTTTCTGGAAGATGGCACTGGGCAGTCAGACATTCAACAGGAGGCCAGCACCCAGACAGAAGGAACTGCCAAGCCAAAAGAACTTTTTGTTTAACCCACCCATGCAGGACATAAAACGGGAGGGAAGACACATTTTTTAGGTAGGTACCATGTGCCAGGCAGTGAGCTAAGCCTTTCACATACTTTATCTCATTTAACCCCTCAATAATCCTGCAGAATATGCACCATTATCCCCATTATAAAGACTAAAAAACAAATTGAAGCTAAGAGAATGCAAGTTACTTGCTTCAGGTTAAACACTTAGGAAGTGGAAGTAGGTGACCTAGGGCTGCGTGACCCCAAACCTTGTGTTTTAACACACCAGAGCCCAGAGCAGAGTAAATGCTCAGTGAATGTTGGAAATGATCAGGGGGATACTGGGGAGGCTGGGGAGACTGACATTTACTGAACATCTATGATACCCCAGTTGCTATGCTAGGTCTTTTTACACCCATGTGGAACCCCCATATCTATCAGCAGTCTCTGCATTTCCAAGATAGTCTCCCCCAAAACTCCTGACACACACATAACACAGAACATGACAGCCAGTCAGGCAGGCAAGCAGGAACACAACTGTATTCGAGTTCTTTCTTACCAGTTCTCTGCTTTACCAGCCTCACGGCAACAAAGCCTCAAGAACAGGAGGAATAAGTTATTCTATATGCTTCCAACATTAAGCCAGCCAAATACATTCCTCAACTCATACCCTATTATTGGTTTTAAGAAAGAACAAGATTGATCTAAAATAATAGATTCTGGTCTTAGGAATACTAAGCTCTCCCCACCCCATACTCCTTAGGGATTAGTTTCCTCTTTAAAGACTTCTCTGAAACCTTGACCACACTTCACATTAATTACATACAGTCACTAACCAGGAGACCTCTGCCTGAGGCCCAACCTACCCAGCCCCCTGACCAATAGACACCAACAGGTCCACACTCGGAGGCCAGAGAAAGGTTGCAGAATTTGTGATTTCACAGATTTGTATCAAAGAACTTTGTCTCATGAAAGCACTAGGAAAAATGTTAGGACAATTGTTTCTCTCCATTTAGTAGCCCCCAGTACAACAATGCTGTGGTTACAATAATCCTTGTTGTTATAAAAAATGTCACTATTTTAGGTATAATCAATTAAACACAAAATGCTCTGCATGGGAAATTTCTGGGTAAACTCATGTAGGTTTTTTTTTTTTGCCCACGTGTGATTGTGGATTTTATTTTTTCCTCTTCTCTGAATCAAGGATACAGGATGCTCAGACCCACATAACAGATGAGTTTCAGATGCTCTGTAAAATCAATACCAAAACTTCTAGAAGATTAAATAGAACTGGTTAGCAGTGCAGCTGCTTAAACAGAAGACATCTGTTTCAGTCTTGAGGCACCAACGATCTGCTGAATGAGTGTGTGCCAATTCTCCACGGGGCCTAATCTCATGAAGCCAGGAAGGGCCCTAGGACCTTGTTCCCTGTTGTGTCCCAGTCCCCAGCCCCTAACACGGACCCTGCACATAGTAAGCTAAAAACGAGTCATTATTTAACGGGCAATAACAAAATGCCATCCATTAGCTGTTATTTCTTTGGAGCCCTAAGCTAAGTATTATGCCCTGCTCTATCATCTACTTTTTAATCATGTGACCCAAGGCAAGTCATTTAAACTCAGCAGGTGCCAGTTTTTCCTCCACGGATAACAATGAAATAATATTTTCCCAATTACATCACAATAACAGGACATGTTCATGAGGATAATAGATGGAAAGCAATACAAAATAAAAATCCTCTCCCTGCTTCTGTGCTCACGAGGGGACCCCTGGATTTCTGCATCAAAACATTTATCACACTGGAAAGCAACCGGTCATTGCCTTGTTTGTCTTCTCTGCTTGACTACATGACAATTTGAGGAAGCACTTGACATTTCCTGCAGAGACATCGAGTGTTCAGCTAGGACAGGTTACTTCAGAAGGTAGTAGTTTGAGCACTGGATCCCCCCCAAACAAGGTGGGAATTCAAACCTACCTCTGCCACGTACTAGCTATATTACCTTGGGAAAGTTACATAGCCCACTGTAAATCAAACTGTTTCCTCATCTGCATGCTTATTTTTATCTTGAGCAGGTTGGTAAAGATTAAATCAGATCACACATGAGAAGCCCCAAATGGTGTATATAGACATGCATCTTACCTTTTAGCTGCGGCACAAGATCCGCCTTCCCCGCATAAGGGTCACAGCGAAAGCGGTCCAGACGATCGATGGTGCACTGCCCAACGACGGGCTTCCGCCCGAACTGCCTGTGGTCGATGACCTTGATCACCAGCGGGGGCATGTACAGGTCCTCCTTGGGCAAGAACTGGGGGTCACAGAAGCAGGCATCACTCCTCTGTAGGAGACCAAAGGGACCAACCCAGACTCTGTTTGCCCATTTGGTGTAGCCCCGGGGACTCACAGTAGGTAGTTCAGGAATGCATGCGAGGCAAGCAGTGTCGTGCCTAAGGGCATGAGCCTCGAGCCTGCCTGGGGTCAGACCCTGGCTCTGCCCCTGGGAGCTGCAGGACCTCAACTCTTCAAGGCCCCAGCTACGTCCTCCATAGTAGGAGAGTTGTTTAACTGCTGTGTGTGACCTGCTTAGCCTAGTGCCTTACAGGCTGTGCTCTGTAAAAGGGTGCAGAGTCAGCCTGCAGTGAGGATGAGTTAGAATTTACAAGTAACCGAGATAAAACTGAATCTCCAAGGGAACTGTGTGGCTTGGGAATCTCTTAGCCTTGGAAGTTCAGTGTCCAGACAGAATGCTCCTTTTCCCCTGATTCCTCCTGTTCCTCCACGTGGAACTTGGTGGCCTCGGTGACACTGTCTGAGTCGGGAATCATGGGCTGGTCCCAGGGTGCACCCGGTATGGGGTTCAGGGAATGTTTCATCTCTGGCCTCGCACAGGAGGAGAAGTTGGGGTTGGCGGAGTGGCTCTCCTCACTCCCGCTGGGACTAGATTCAGACTAGAACCTGGGGCTGGGGGAGGGGCTGGGCAGGGGGCACGGATGGGTGGAGGGGCCCGGGGCGATCACTTCGGGATTCTGGCTTGGAGCGTCCAGGTGGCACCCCATCTGCAGCATTGTAGGGGGAAGAGCACGGGCTTTGGAGTGAGGGGAACGGAAGTCCAAATTCTGGCCTCCTACTTGCCAGCTGATCCCCTGGTATAAATGACTCAACCTCTGGGTTTCCTCCGAAGTGGGCATATGAGGAGTGAAGCCGCCTGCTCTGCCAGGCGAGAGCAAACACGACACGCAGGGGCCGGGAATGGCTCGGAGCTGTCCCGGCGTCGCCTCCCACAAACCACTGCAGCCCTGAGCGTGTGGCCTGACACTCACTGTGGGACTTGGATAAGGTGTCCCCCTCTCTAGGCCTCAGTTTCTACATCTGTAAGAGCAGACTTTAAACCACATGACCCTAGCATTTGAGAAGGGGGTGTGAGCAACACCAAATGACTAGGGAGGGAAAAGGAAAGCGAAGGTGCTGGGCCCTCTGCTTCATCACGCCAAGGAAATGCCTTGATTTTCTCTTTTATTTATTCAGTACAGTGAGAAAGGAAGACTTTTCTTTTTAAAAACACTAAGGATGAAACTGCTTTAAAAAGCGGAAGGACAGGGTGACCTCTTCTTGCTGCAAAGTCCTAGGGGATCTACGACAGACGACCGTGAGCCGGATGTGACGCTGTCCCTTCCTAACAACCAGGGGGTGACTTCCATGGCACCAAGTGGTGCCCTCCACTGGAGGTGGGGCCTGTCCTGGGCCCCACCACCTCAAATGGGCCCTGCAGCTGCCCCTTCCCCAGCCAGCCAGTCCCTATCTGGAGGCTTCCGGTCCACGTACACCTGCAGGGGCAGGACTGAGGATCAGTGTTCCGCCCTCCAGGGCAGAGACCAAAAGCCTGTACCCGAGAGCTGAATAGATGGAAAGTTCATTTGAGAAAAAAGTAAGTATTTTTCACAAATATTTCTGTATCACTGGGGATGTGTGAAGCTTCAAGAAACCATTACTACAGTGTGAGAATCTAAGGGAGAAACGTCACTGGCAAGCTGAATTCAAGGCAGGGTTTTTCTAGTTGCTGTCAGAGTTTGGAAATATATAAACTCTATATGTGTGGGGTGCGGGGGATGCAATCTTTATATATTCATATTTAGAGTACAATTCAGCTACTCAACACACGTGTTATTACAGTCTTGATACTGTACCACTTTCATGAAGAGAACAGAACTCGGGAAATTGGGCGTCTTCTTAAGGTTTTTGATCACCACTGATTCTACCCTTTCCCCTCCACACTCCACGACAAGGCTGGGGGAGGCGATGGAGGCCATCTGGTAGTTTTTCATGTTTCTTAAGCCCCAAGCTAGAATCTAAAGAAAACAATATAAGGAGAGAGGAGGAAAACTCAGTATATTACAAATAATATTCAAAAGGAAAAATTCTTCCTTAATAACTAGTAAATTCTTTAAGATTGACTTGTGTAGATTTGCCTAAAATCTCTGAGACTATTATCCTAGAAAGCCTGTAGGTCATGCAGAGAAAGCAGTTTTGCCCCCTTTTTTCTGCCTGAGCTGCTAAAAAGCAGAGCAGTGAAGGGTGCAGGAATCAAATCCTGGCCGCGAACCCTGGCAAGTTTGGAACCTCTCTATGTCTCGTCCACAAACACGACCGTCTCGTCTGCAAACAAATCACAGGGTCATTCTGAGGATCAAGTGTAAACTCCTTAACACAGTGTTGTTTAAAGCCATCTGCTTTGGTCTTTGGGAACTCTGAGCAAGACAGCCTGAGAAGGGAAATCTCAAGGTAACAGCTGCTTGACTGGACAAGGGGGAGACCTTGAGAGTGGACCAGACGCTGTCCATGAAGCTACCCGTGAGTTCCCGCAGCCTGTGTCTGCTCTGATGGTCTGGCATGTCACCGTTTCCCATTGCTCCCATCCCTCTCTCCACCTCAGCCCCCCTTTTGGGTCCCCTGCTCTCTGCATGCACACACGCGCACACACACACACACGCTGCTCGCAGTCTGCCTTCCCTCTCCCAGCTCTCCGGTTGACATGGGAAACTCAGAAATCTCCTGGCTCCTTGTAAGTGGGAACTCTAGATTCCCTCAGTAACGCTGGAGTTGACCTGTTCTTATTTCGACAAGCTTTCTGTTTCCATGCATATTTCAGATTTTTGGACAAATTCTATAGGAAGTTGGAGACAGCAAGAGAATATGTAGCAAGATTCCATTTCCTACGAGAGAGTCCAGTTGTGTAGCTATGTCATTTGACTTGATCAATAAAACTTAGGGAGCTGCCTACCTCAATAGCAGTGAGCTGAACCACAGGCCTGATCCCCTGGGGGACCATGTACAGATTTGGTGCCCTTTGTGAGGGAAGGATGGGAAGGTTGGAGCCATCCTGTAAAACAAACATGGAAACATAACTGCCTCTGCTTAGTTCAAGAAAATGGTGTCGCGGATTATTAGCAAGTGTTTTAAGCAGCTACTAGGAAAGAATATATGCGTGAGAACACAGTAAGTACCTTGTGCCTCAGAATCAGTTCTGCAGTTACAAGGACATCCCCACAGGATTTGTCTTCGTTCATTACGGGATGCCAGAGAAGTTTGGGTGTGACATCTGTTTCTGAGTTTAGTTTTACCAGAGGAGAGCACGTGCTCCGTCCTAAAAATTCATCTTTGCCCTAGAGAAACAAGCAGTCCTTAAATTCCCCAACAAATATCCCTCTAGACCTTCGCCATTCCCCCAAGCCGTCTTAGAAATTCTAAATTACCTACCACTTGGTCATTGTCAAAAAGTTCGATGATAACTTGGGGCGGGTTCTGTAGAACCGTCTGGGGCTCCCCATAGATTTCAATTTCATCAAATATAATGGTCTGGTCCCATGTGGGATTCAGAGTTGAGTGGATGATCTCAGTGGTTTTGCTTCGATGGAGGAAAGAGACATGAGCATATGGATCTAAAACAGAAAAAGAGAGTAACTGTGAGGCCATGGCTAATGTCTAGCTCCCCAGGCCCCCTCATTTCAATCGCATGCTCTTCTTCGAGTTGCACTGACCACAGACCCTCACCACCCCCTGGGAGAGAGAATGCCAAAGCCTTCTGGAGAAAGAGCAAAGCTGGAGGCATCACACTTGCTGGGTTCAAACTATATTACAAAACTATAGTAATCAAAACGATATGGTATTAGCATAAAAACAGACACATGGACCAATAGAACAGAATAGAGAACCCAGAAATAAATGCATGCATAGGCGATCAATTAATTTTCAACACAGGTGCCAAGAACACACAATGAAGAAAGGATAGTCTCTTTGATAAATGGTGCTGGGAAAACTGGACAGCCACATGCAGAAGAATGAAGCTGGAGCCCTGTTTTACATCATACACAGAAATCAACTCAAAATAGACTAAATACTTGAACACAAGACCCAAGACTGTAAGACTCCTAGAAGAATAGATAAGGGGTAAGCTTCTTGACATTAGTCTTGGCAATGATTTTTTAGGATTTGACACCAAAAACACAGGCAACAGAAGCAAAAATAAACAAGCGAAGCTACATCAAACTAAGAAACTTCTGCACAGCAAAGGAAACAATCAACAAAATGGAAACCCATGGAATGGGAGAAAATATTTGCAAACCACATATCTGATAAGCAGTTAATATCCAAAATATGCAAGGGACTCATATAAAAATAGCAAAAAGCCCAAATAACCCAATTAAAAAATGGGCAAAGGACCCGAAGAGATGTTTCTCTGAAGAAGACATACGAATGGCCAAAAGGTACATGAAAAGGTGTCCAACATCACTAATCCTCTGGGGAATGCAAATCAAAGCCAGAATGAGATATCACCTCACACCCGTTAGGATGTCTAGCGTCAAAAAGACAGGAAATAACCAGTGTTGGCGAGGATGGGAAGAAAAGGGAACGCTTGTGCGCCGTTGGTGGGAATGTAGACAGGTGGAGCCACTGTGGAAAACAGTATGGAAGTTCCCCAAGAAATTAAAAATAGCACTATCATATGATCCAGCAATCCCACTTCTGGGTACTTACTCAAAGCAAATGAAATAATTATCTCAAAGAGCTATCTGTGCTCCCATGTTCCCTGCAGCATTATTTACAACAGCCATGGCCCCGATCAGTTATCTTATATCTCAGACGGCAAGGAATCTGCTTGAGTTTTATGCAACTTTAGTCAAGAATTAGGATTAAGATTCTAACTTTGACTTTCAATGATTGAGTGCCCCCTGGTGGTGAATATTCAAAAACGTCTTCAAACCCCATTTGGAGATGCGTATTATGGGGATGACTTTGAATTTGCTCTAATCTGTAAGAAAAGGAAACCATTCACAAATGTTGGTTACATGAGTGCTTGGAACACACCTCATGAGTGATGTGAGCATTCCAGAGTGTCAGGCAACTGCTTTAAGAGTTGTTTCCATCAAAGCTCTGCTGGCCTTCAAGTCCTGAAGTGGCAATCTCCCCAAGTCACCCAGATGGCCCCTGAACCATTCATGATCCCACCAGCAACAGCACAGATCCTCAGCAGCAGACCCCTGGCCTTTTCCCCAGCCCTGCCCACAGCCTTCCCCTTAGAACCAGTTCAAAGGCCATGAAACGAGCTGGGTCTCATGGCTTTATGGTGCAGGGAATTTGGGGAACAGGCCACAGAGAGGTCAAAATGGACTCCACACTGCCTCAAGCCTGGTGTTGTAGGCAGATGGGCGAACTTGTGATCTTTCTGTCAACTTGAGAGAGCTACAAAAATATTTATAAAGGATCTTAACTTACCGATCAGCCCAAGAGCCCAGAGTGTATATATGTATACATATAGAGAGAGCTCTGTGTATAAGCAAAGAGCAGAAATTGCTTTTCTTCTTGGTGCTTTTTATTCCTTAATCAATTAATGATTATTAGTATTAAAAGACCATGTAACTTCTGTGTATCTCTAGCACTCAGCAATAGTACTCAACATACTCAGTGATTATTTAATGACTGTGCAGTTTATTTCACACAAATCAAACTCATTTCAATATGGAAAGCCTCTTTGTTGTAAGACATTACTAAAAACATCCACTTGATGAAAAGTAGACTCAAGCTAGCCAGCTATGTAATAACATGTAAGATGGAGATTTTTGTCCCTTTACCTGAAAAACTATCCTTGTCTAGAGCCATGAGGTTCCTGGCTTGATAGATATAGCAGCGCAGATGGTAAATGTAGACTCCTAAAAAGAACAGGATGGAGGTTACTCATAAGAAACATAACACTGTAAACTGCAAATTTTCTGGAATATTTGGAGATAATTCATGTTTCAGATAAATGGGTCATTCAAATCTACTTCTCCACAATAAAGAGCACACATAATGGGGATGACAGGTGCTCCCAAAGTAGTTCTGTTTCCTATAAAATAAAACTAACTTTAAAAATACTACAGTAAGCCCAATGCAAATGTATCACTCAGGAGAACATCACTCCTGTTGTAAAACCTAGATTTAGGCCACTGCTTGTCATCACAGACCTTGACAATGAGACTTGGTTTCCAAGAGTTATAGAAATAGGGCTTCCTATACTATTTCAGCCCCAGATCTAGGAAAGTTCCTCCTTTGATAGTTCAGAATCTTTATACTCCTTACCCCTATATTAATGTATATATGCTCCCACCCCCCACACATTATTCTGGGAGTCAGACTACTTGACATCTTGTCCTTAGTGCTCTAAGATGAGGACAACAATAACACCACCTTCTAGGGTGGTTATGAAGATTAAAGGAGTTAATATATGCACAGTGCTTGGCACATGCTAAGCCCTATCATAAGCATTTGCTATTATTAGTACAGAATAGGTCTGCCTCATTCCAAAATTCCTAAAGATTATCATTGGAGCCAACCTTTACTTAACTTTTTGAACCTCTTTTTTTTTTTTTTTAATTAAAACAATCTTTTGGGGAGCTTAATAGATAGAATGAGTACATATTGGACAGACTATGTCAAAGTCAATGATCTGACGACCCTCCACCCCAAGTATGATTTTTAAAAGTGTATCTGAAAAAATCCTCTTCATCGAAATAAAAGTCACATTTGCATAAAGACATTTTAATCCTATTCGGTGATTCAGAGAGTTTTCGTGAGATAAGTCATAGCGGTGGAATGTACAAATCCATTTAAAACTTACTGTCAAAGTTACAGGAAATGATGGGGGTGTTTGCCCCAAACACGGTGGTGGCACTGTACTTCCGTTTGTCCCCGCTCTTCTCGTCTCCGTCCTCAGTCGTGTCTGCACCCTAAAGAGGCAGAAAAGTCCATGACCAATGCCTCAAAACAAAGAGGCAAGAATGACAAAGAAATGGAATGGTGGCTTTTAAAAGGGACTCTTCTCATCCAATTGCTCCATTTTTAAAGACGAATAAAGCCCAGCACAGCAAGTGTCTTGCCCAAGGTCACTTAGCTGGAAAGGGACAGAGCAAGAAGTTGAAGCCAGTCTTTTGCCTCAAGTCCAGGCTTACCAAACCCTGATGCTGAAAATTTAAAAGAGGAAAAGCATAAAGGATAAATAAGGGGATTAAAAGGGTGGGAGGAGGATGAGAATAAGCATCATAGCAGGGTCAATGTGCCGAAATATAAAAATAGGCTGCGTTTGGAAATGGCTCCTGACCACTATGTTGTTTTAGACGGACCACTGCCATTCTCTTACGCATTCCTTCCACCTTTGCGCTTTTCCCCTCCCTGCCTTCTTTACTGTGCTTCCATATGAATTTTTCTCTAATTCCGTGAGCCATCCTTCTGTTTTTCTCCCCCTCACATCTGTGTATTTAACTTTCTCGGTTTGCTGAACAGTTATAGTTTCCAAGGCAGGATCCAAAGAACCCATGCCTGCGATGTTAACAGGCGTCAACCGCAGCAAGGGTTTCAGAATAGATATATTTGGAAAATGCTGGGGGAAACATTAAACAGGTGTGTCTGTGGTAGAACTTCTTAGAGCCTTTCCTATAGTCATGATGTAGTCATGCAACAAGAGTTACTGAGCACCTAGGTTGTGTAGCTCTCTCCCAAATCATCCGCAGTCCTGCGGCGCTGGAGGGGTCCCTGTGGAGTCAGTGGAGCCTCCAACACTCAACTACTTTCCCCATGCCAATCTTGGTTGAGCTTCGAGCACTTGTTACTTACGAGGGCGCCTTCAAGCTTAAAGATGGCACCTGCACCATGTGTTTCCGAAGGAGCCATTTTTCTTCTCCAGCGTCTGCGGCGAAAGGTATCTGAACTGCGCTGTTTCCAGTGAAATTTCCAGCCAATTAAAGAAGCATATTCCCAGCCGTCCCGGTCTTCATATTCTTCCATGGCCTAGACCAGAAGTAAAACTTTAATGCTGATGATAATCATCATCATCATAACAACAATATCCCTTAATTGATAAAGCAGATTATTTGGTCAATCACCAAATAGGTTTTGAAAATCTACTCTGTTCCAAGCACTGTGTTACGAGCCAGTGAAACAACAAAGAACAAAGGAGGCAGGCTGTCTGCCCTTGCAGAGCTGATGAACTGTAGAAATATGCAGAGATAATCAGGAAACTGACATGGAATGAGACGTTGCCAAGGTGGTGCCCTACACCCTCAGGAGAGGGACCTTGTTCAGACTTGAGGAGGGTTACGGAAAATGGATTTTTTTTTTTTTTTTTTGTAAGGAAAATGGATTCTTTCTCAAATTGCTTTCTATTTCCTCACTTCATTAGCATATAAGACATCATTACTGTTATAAACAGTTTGGAAAACATTGTTATCTCTACCTTATATGGGGAAAAATGACACCACTCTCCCCAGGATTTAAATGTCTCATTTAAGCTAGTAACTGGCATAACTAGTAAGTAAGTGATAGAGCAGAGTATATTACTTCTGCAGTAACTAATAACTTATGAGGATAGGACTTTTTATCCTAAAAACTGTTTATATATAAATGTCTTCAGTTTTCAATGTTTTATGCAATTTAACAAATACGAGTGTCTACTGTGTGACAGGGATTGTGTTAAGAGCTGAGGAAGCAATGAAGAACAAGATAAGACCAGGTCCTGGCCTTCATGTAGCTGACATTTACTGAGGGAAATTGTATGTAAATATCTTAAAAGTATGACTAGATTTGATAAATGCAAAATAATACCAAATAATATCTATGATCTCAGAAACAAGAGCTCTATGTGGGTTATTATCATTGTAGGATTTTTTTTCAACTTTGAATAAACATAATTCCAGGTCAAGCACAATCTTGTAATTGACCCTCTAGTAGTGTTAACAGCAGCATTGAAATATTTCAGGTAGCCAGGAGTGAGGAGGTTAGGGAATATGATCAAAGTCTCAATGATACTTTTTGGTAGAACTGGGTCAAGTTTCCAGTCTTCTGACTTGAGTGGCTCAGTATTACCTTGGTGCTCTCATGTGGAAGGAGAGAGTCAAGTGCCTCTAGGAGCTTCTCACTCCATCAGCATACGGGGAGCTGAATAAGAAATATTCATTCATCAGCTCATTCATTCTCCTCCACTATTTATCAAGAACAAGTTTCTGAACTGGCAAGAAGGATACAAAGATGACTATGGTTCCATCTTTGTGCCCAAGAAGCTTACTTGTAATAAAAAGTAACTTCATTGCACCTGCTATGAGTCAGGCACTTTGTGGAATAGCCTCGTCTGGGTTCAGACACTGGCTCAATCACTTTCTAGACATATGGCCCAGAGTCATTTATCTATAAAATGAGGATAAAATGCAGATCTTGTGGATTATAGACAATGCACATTTAGTACTTTGCATTATAGAAGACACACAACATATTCCACTTATTATTATGAGTATTATTATTGCACTTAACTTATTCTTCCATGTATGCCTTATAATACCCTAATTAAAAGCATGGTACTGTACCCATTTTGCAGATGAGAAAGGAAATGAGGCCAAGATTTGAGTCCTTGTGTATCTCATTCCAAGTACTGAACTATTGCCACTCCTTCGTTATGATACCAAAATAATTTCTATTACTACTCTGTAGTGGTTCTTATCATTTAGCCTACTTCAGATCACCTGGAAGACCTGGTGAGAGATTGCTGGGCCCCACCCTGGAATTCTTAAATCAGTGGGTTTGGGGTGAGGCATTTCTAACACATTCCCAGGTAACGTGTTGTTGCTGGTTGGGGCGGGGAGTGCGTTTTGAGAACCGTTGAGCAGGGAGAGCCTTACGCCCTTGATTGGCGAATGGTTTCTGTAGAAATAGCCAAGGAACGGGAATTCTGTGTGGCTCCCGGCCTAGCTCCCTCCCAAGCTAACTCTTACCCTTGCAGTACTTGAAGTGCTTTGTGTTAAATCCTTCTTGCGTTTTCGGACCAGCCTTCGCCGTCTATGAGTATGATACATTTTCTCTGCTGCAACCCAGGATTTGGGTTTATTATCAGGAGGAATGGTAATTCCATACTCCCAGCCTGGAACAGAGTTTGCAAACAGTTATCCCAAAGAGATGCATTTGCCAGATTGCCAGATAAACTTGCAGGAAACATCCAGTCACTGTCTCTGCTCCCCCAGCATTCTCTCCTGTGCCAGTGAATTCCACTGCTCCTTTCACTTGGCTGCAATTCAGCCGAACCCAAACATAGCTCTGTTCCCCTGGATCCCTCTTCAAAAGCTTCCTTTGCGGCCACGGGGTTTTCCTCTCCTTTCATCCCTCCTCACTCATGGTAATTAAGTGCATCTAAGAATAAAGCACAGTGCAAGAGGCAGCCGGGGACAGGGCTGAAGGGTTTAAAGCCCAGCATCACCACACACTGGCTATTTACTAAAAAAGTTTCTTGCAGGTTAGTAAACTTGTCTATGGCCCAATTTCCCCAGCATAAAGGTAAAGTATACTTTTTTAAAAAGAATTCATCAAGGGCGCCTGGGTGGCTCAGATGGTTAAGCGTCTGCCTTCGGCTCAGGTCATGATCCCAGAGTCCTGGGATCGAGTCCCACATCGGGCTCCCGGCTCAGCAGGGAGCCTGCTTCTCCCTCTGACCCTCTCCCCTCTCATGCTGTTTCTCTCTCGCTCGCTCTCTAAAAAATAAATAAAATCTTTAAAAAAAATAAAAAAATAAAAAGAATTCATCAAGATAATGCCTGCAAATCACTAGGACTATGCTTAGCACATAGTTTGTGCTCAGTCAATGCTAACTATTATTATAAGGCTTGGTGTGTGCATCAAGATCAGCAAAGAATTTATAATCTATTTGAACCCTTCTTTATCCATGCTTGTTCTTTCTTTTATAAGGAAAAGAAATCAGAGTTTCTCTTTTGATATTTCCAAATGTTAGATAGTTCATTTACCTTCAGATCACTGTTCATAGAAAAGGATAAACACCATTAACGGAAGCTGTGTCAATAATCTACATTATTGCGTATCAACTATACTTCAAAAAACCCCCAAAACAATCTGCATTATTGCTGAATAGGATGACTTTTAAGGCATTTTACAGTCCTTCTTCCTGAGCCCCAGGGTCCTGAGTGTGATGTTCCCAGGGAGTCTATGGGGTATGATTAGAATAGAGAACATCCAAATTCCAGTTCCCTCCTAAATTCTCATCGTGGATCCTCAGCATCTCAACGTGCAGACACCTGGCCCACTGTGATCTTGTATTTTTCACTCTTGCCGCCCCCACCCCCACCTGTCCAAGCACTTCCTTGTCCTTCAGATTTTGCATCTGAATAGTCACAGGTAATATCCAAGACCTGACAGTCACAGACCAACAGAAGTAGGACTCCTCCCCCCAAGGAAACTTTACTCTGGTTAACCAGGGCCTTGCCGCAGAGACCCCACAAGGTAATAGATCTAAAATGTTACCTTTCTCATCCACTGCACGATTTATATCATATACCCATGCGTCATCTTCCCATTCCCAACCTGGAGGGCATGTCAGCTCGCTGGGTGATGCTGCTTTATCACCGTTCTTTAGACAGTAAAAACAAAACAAAATAAAAACTGAAGAAAAGTAAGCCATAGTGTCAGATAAGATGCAAAGGCGAGAGGCTACCACACACTTAACAATGGTATTTACATGCTAATTTGTGAATCTCTAATCTCTATGCACAATTGCTACACAAGATTAGTTTTTTAGAATACCTTCTGTTTCCACTATTAGGGGGTATGTTGGGTTGAACCATGGGAAATTGTTATTGTAGATCAAAAATGGTCAAATATCAGCAATTTCATATGGTTCAACAATATTATGAAATGGCACGACTCTCTTTATCAGGAGTTATACTGGAAAGAAACCATCAGAGATGGATAAAGCATGAAAAACACGTGTTTTCAAGTACAAGGTAATGTCACTGGAAGTTCTAGATGCTAATCATGTAAGATTGAGCAAGGTTTAGGTTAAATATCGACTTAAGTATTGACTACATTAAAATGGACAGTTATGAAAAAACATTCATAAGAATAGAAATAAAGGTGATCCATAAACATATGGAAAAATGCTCAGCCTCACTTTATTTTTTTAAATTTATTTAGAAAAATTATTTATTTAATTTTTAGGCAGTGGGGAAGGGGCAGAGGGAGAGGTAGAGTCAGAATCTTAAGCAGGCTCCATGCCCAGCACTGAGCCCAACACGGGGCTCGATCTCATGGCCCTGAGATCATGACCTGAGCTAAAATCAAGAGTTGGACGCTTAACTGACTGAACAACCCAGGTGACCCACAGCTTCACTTTAAATTAAAAGTGAGAAAATGGAAAGGACATCTGGGCACTGACAAAGCTGGTGTGGTGGGGGTAGTGAGTGTTTAGGAAAACAGCCCTCTAATACACTGTTGCTGGAAATAAAAACTTATACAGCCTATCTGAAAGCAGTTTGGCAATATTTATCAAAATTGCATATGCATTGAAATCTGACCAAACCTATCCAAGGATCTCTCCTGGACATAAACTTTTACAAGTGAATAAAAATGTATATATAAGGATGTTTACTGCTGCATTGCTTGAGAAAACCAAAGACTGGGAAAAAATCAAAATGTCCACAAGGAGAGGATACTTAAGTACATTATAGAGGGTGCACATAATAAGACACTCTGCAGGCATTTTTTAAGAAAGCTCATAGTTCGGGGTGCCTGGGTGGCTCAGTCGTTAAGTGTCTGCCTTCAGCTCAGGTCATGATCCCAGGGTCCTGGGATTGAGTCCTGCATCAGGCTCCCTGCTCAGTGGGAAGCCTGCTTCTCCCTCTCCCACTCCCCCTGCTTGTGTTCCCTCTCTCGCTGTGTCTCTCTCTGTCAAATAAA